GCCCCTCCCAGAGGAAATAAAAGAGGAGCAAAAGGGGAGTGGAGTGTGCAGGAGACAATTCGTTCATTCCTGCATTCTTGCCAAGTATTGCGGCATCTGAAAGATATCGGCCTGGCCACTCTCCAAGCCTGATAAAGGTTGGTAATTGTGAACTATCTTGAAAGACTGCGGGAGAGGAAAAACTTTGCTGGAGAGGAATTCACTGTAAACTAAATAAAAGGGGTTTATCGGGACGAGGACTCGGCTTCGTGCTGCTGGGGAAGCCTAGGTGAGAACAGGAGCAAGATTATTTCTCCTGCAAATTCTTCTAAGCATGACTTCAATTGCCTTTAGCTCCGTATCATTTGAAGAGGTGCGTCAAACGGCTACAATTAAATAACCCACGGCATGAGGAATATATGATCAAGAGGACCAAATTCTTCTTGTTTTTGACCTTTGTGACAATGTAGAATAGTCTTTGTTCCACCATATCCCACTGGGACCAAATGAGATCATCAACAATTCTTTCTTTCAAAAGCCAGTTCGAATTTTCAATCGTCTGAAAGGGAAGGAAATGGATTTACAGGAGAGAAATAGTACAATGCCATGTAGTAGAACAGAGAATGAATTGGGTTGGAAGGGACCTTGGGAGGTCTTCTAGCCCAGCCCTCTGCTCAAGGAGCAAATTCTATTCCCAAGATCATGCGATCCCCTTTTGCAATCTTTTCATAAGCAACCGGGAAGCAGATTCACTCAGCAACCGGTTACTAACTTATCAACTGCAGTAATCCACTTAGCAACGGAGGGAAGAAAAAGGGGCAGAACTCACTTCATCAATGTCTCACTTAACAACATAAAGTTCAATTGTGGTCGTAAATCAGGGATTCGATTTAATCTGTATGATTTATGGTGAACTCTCAACTGGCAACTTGAATTCCGATGGGAAGGAGTTTTATCTTATACCTTTTCCTAATTCATCAAAAACCAGCTCAGATTTCTGCCCAGGTAATTTATTTTTTACACAATGAAAGAAACTACATTTAGAACAAAACTTGGATATTTTTTTCACTCTGCCCAATCTCATTTCAACTACAAAAAAATAATAATAATAATAGCCCAAAAGGAAGATAATTAAAACATACCACTCTGTCTCCTTCTCGGACAGTTCTGATGTCCAATTTTTCGGCATCTTAAGAAACATAAATACAAGCTTAGATGACAGAAGTAAAGGAACAGGTATCAGGTATATAAAACATTATTTAAGAAATCTGTACATATGTATTTGTTCATTTCTGCTATCGGGGTTCAAAGGGTGTTGCATGACAGGGCAAATAACATTTTTTTTGTCTTTTAATAATCCCTTGCATCAGGACGGAGTCAGGGCAACTGAATGGAACTGAGCGTTTATTGGCCGGATGCCCTTCCTGTCACCAATGCAGAGTTCGCAGTAGATGGTTTCACATTGTACAAAGGGAAAATAACATGTAGCGACAAAAATCTTGGATTAGATCGAGGTGTCAAACTTGATTTCATTGAGGGCTGCATCAGGATTGTATTTGATCTTGCGGAGGGCCGGGAGGGGGCATGGCCTGCTTGACGTCACCCGTGTCGGGAGAGTGCTCTGCCAGCGAAAATGAGCTCCCAAGCTCTCTTTTCAGCTGCGACAATCTCCTGCAACTCTTTGCCAGGGAAAACGGAACTCGGGAGAGCCACACGTGGCTCCATTTTCGCTGGCAGAAGCACTGCGGGCCAGTCCTTCACTGGTTCCAGGGTGGCCCCGTGCGCCAGATCTAAGCGTCCCGTGGGCTGGATCCAGCCCCCACGCCTTGAGTTTGACACCCCTGGATTAGATCAACTCAAATTCCAGATGCAAGCTTTGCACTTATCATTATTTGCATGTCAGTAGATGACCTATTCTAGCTGATGCTAGAATATAATTTTGGGAGAGTCAAAGGGGAAGCGGGATTCCCTTAAGAACTACAGTGATTCACTTAACAGCTGTGGCAAGAAAGATTGTAAAATAGGACAAGACTGACTTAACAAATGTCTCACTTAGCAACAAAAAGTTTGAGCTCAATTATGGCCGCAAGTCATATATCACAGTTTTCTGAAAGCTTCCTGGGTTTTCCACCCAGTTGAAAGTTCATGATCTTGCCCCACACACCCACAAGTCCATCACATGGTCCAATCTTCCTCTACCACGCTGGCATTTCCACCCATCTAGTTCCGGTCAGGTGCAGGGGTACAAAGACAAAGGATGACCCCAGGCTTCACCTTTAAAGCCCTACATGGCCTAGGACCTGGATATCTACGAGACCGTCTTCTGCCACATACCTCCCAGCGTCCGATAAGATCTCACAGGATGGGCCTTCTCCGGGTGCCGTCGACTACACAATGTCTGGCGGCCCCCCCCCCCAGGGGAGGGCCTTCTCTGTAGCTGCCTTTGGAACAATCCCTTTGGAACAATCTACCCCCAGAGATCCGGACCCTCCCCACTCCCTCGGCCTT